CACTAAAAACTATGAATACATAGGAATTCTCCAAAAACTAATATTAATAGATTTTTTTTTGGAAGTGCTGCTACTTCCTCTTCCAGGTTAGAATATGTAATTTAATCAAAATATCTGAGAAGCCCACATAAGTGGTGACATACTGATCCAAACAGGACAGGACCTAAAGCTTCTGGGGTATCTTTTTCCAGACTTGGATCATTGAATAGATATTGAATAGATTACTGTGCTATTCATATTATGTTTTCATCTAGGGCTGCTTGGTTATTATCAAGTGAGAAATTATTAACATCAAAGGATGTATTTGTGGCTTTTTGCTTGTATGTGCAGAAAATCTGATAGATAGTAATGATGAAGGGGCTTCTTTATCTAGAAAATAACTTTTATTCTTGAACCACAACAAAAAACAATGTTTTTAATTTGTTTTCAATGATTTTTTGTCCACCTTTACTATTCCACATTAATAACTGAACTGATGTGAGCTAACTAGTTGTTCAGGTTAGATTTGCATTCTGATCCAAAGATTACAGGTTACTGAATTATCCCTTAAGCTTYCTAGCCTTATGAGTCCATTAAGCCTTAATTAAAGCAGCATCTTAGAAAAAAATAATCAGACCATTTATATCCAAAGAGACACACATTGGTCATTTGTTTGTTCACCAGCATAAAAATTATTATTTAATGGAAATTTTAATCACAGCAAGCTTATAGATAGACATATATTAAATGCATTAATCTTTCTATAAGGTTATTCACAATGTATAAGGTTACTCCTCTGAAAAGACTGCTTCAGATTGCTTTCCGGTAATGCTAATACCCATTAAAAAGATGAATATATATGTGTGTAAGTCAATCATAAGGTATTAAAGAGGTGTAGCAACTTAAGCTTCTTTTCTTCTTGGCAGGTCACTTTGAGAAATGTCCTAGTTCAATTAAAATATTTTTTCCATTTCCTAGTAGTAGATTCAGATATGCTCTGTCTGTTCTCTATCTCATCTTTGCTGTCAGGATTTAAAACAAACCTGAGTGAGATAATAGAAGGGTAATCTAGCTACTTCAGACTCTGAACAGGATGAAATTAAGGATATATAAGTGTGTATACTTATTTACATGTTTCTTCCAGTCAAGTGTTTTAAAGAGAATAAAGACAGTATTCCAGAGTATGCTTTAAAAAAAATTTATTACCACAAAAAAGGTAAAAATAAGGTTCTTGTTCAACCAGAATAAACTACAACTCATATTCATCTAATGCTTATCAGGTTCTTCAACTCTGCTTTTAATATTCTGCACAAGTGAATGGAAACCATCTAAACCTACAAAGAAGTACATACAAAATGTTTCTCTTTGGATTAGATGTTATGAGAAGAAAGTTCACGGAACAACAGTCATTTAGGCTATTATCGTATATTGCATATAACGTCTAAATGGTTGTAAAATATTGTATATCTTAACTATTATTTCATATTAATAGATACAACTCAAATCTTCATATTGCATTGTCAGAAACACAAAAATGTGTAATTAGTTATTCAGATGAGCATTATGCACCAACATTACATCTGATACAAAAGTCCTSCTTTAAAAGCATCTGCAGTCTGGATACTTTGGTAGTATGTTTTTATTGTCAAAAATAAAAATAATTTCTCATCATTTATTGACCACCCCCTATACCAGGTGCCAGAAGCGTTCACAATATTAAGACAATAATACATAAATGTTCARCTTATTATGAACATGACTATAGTTGTCTTTTTTTAGAATAGCTAATTAGCTGATTTCAATATAGCTTCTGGCACAAAAAGAAATTATGTCTCCATTGGTCCAAAATCAGTAGGAGGCTCTAAGTAGATGATGCTCAATGCTCCTTTTTGGAAGGACTGATTCTATTTCAAATGAACTAGTGACAGCTCACAGTAAGGACCCTCTGCTATCCCCTTTTTAATTGCTGTTGTTTTCTTTTTTCTTTTCATAAAGCAAAGGATTATCTTGTTAAGGTGCAATCTTTATGGGCTACTTCTAAATTATCATATAACATGGAATTAAGGTTGGTAAGGGGTTTAAGTACTGGGCATATTAGAGTCAGCTGAATGTTTGAAGACAGCAATTGGGCTTTCTGTAACACACAGCTATCTATCTAAATCTATCACAGCTCCAATCCTGCTTGTCTATATTCAGTTACTAGTTTGGTTTAGAGGATTTTTGTTTTGTTTTAAGAAAATGATGTGACACATGCCTGTCTAGTGTTGTTCCCATCAAAATCATCTTTGTGTATTACCCTTTTGTGCCTYTCAGGTCATTAAGGTAGTTGATCTGTTTTAGAGTCAGAAAATGKACGGGCAAGGGAAAATTTCAATCGAATCAGCCGTGCATAGAAGCAACTGCCCAGTTTGCCATCTGCAGTGGGCATTGATCCCTAGCTTGTCTGTGTCCTGCAATGGTTATGCATGCGTAAGCACATGAGCCTTTTCATTTCATTCATTAGACAGTTAGGCCTTGATTAGTGTTTCCTAGTCTCTGTCAAATATACTATTACTCCTTCATTCAGTTTGTCTTGGGTCTGTCTTTTGCTTTTGCTTCAATRTAGAGAAGATTAACAATTAAGCATAACAGTAGTGCTTTTATGTCTGTTTCATGCAGAACTGGCTAGCAAATATACTTTTTCTCGTATTGGTAAGTCTAGTGTGGGATAATGTATTAACAATAGACCTTTCTAAAGTTAACAGAGTTATTATTTTAGTCCAGCTGGCAGGCTTTGTTTAGAAGTGTGACATCTCAGAGTTTACTGTTTATTTCATCCATATTCAAGAACTGTGGGATCACCAGAGTACTTGTGGATATTTGCATTATAAAATTGCATTGCACATAAAAATAAATTTAAAGCAATGGTAGGTGGAGTTTGAGAATATTGCATCCAAAGTTTCAGATGACCTTTTGGAGGAGAAAATAGAAAGAGAAGGTTTTCTATGATTAACATTAGCCCATTCATTAGGGCTTTTTACTCTTATTATATTGTAGGACAGTAAAATGTTAACTGATGATTCTGTTCTTAAAGACCGAAAAAAATAGTGATATGTGGTTAATAATACATCATCCTATATGCATGTTTATAAACTGCATAATGAGATCAGGAATAATGTGAAGATTTCATTGGAGACAATATGTTTCCTGATGCCATTAATTGATTTCACTGGATTARTGACTACAAATCGCATTGCTAAAAAGTTCTATACTGTGCCCATTATGTACATACCTTTTATGTACAATAGTGTAAAATATTGTCAAGTTTTATTACATTTTATTCATAATAATAGAAATTAAATAAAATTTACATATCATCAGTTGCACTCTGAGCAGTTCTGTCTGACGTTATCAAATTCATACATTTATTTTTTCAAGTATCCGTGGATTAGTAAGCCATATATATGATATGTACAAATCGATACTGTGGAGTTTTCTCTAAGACTCTAATAAATAAATAAGTAAATAAATAAATAAAGAACTTTATCTATAAACTGTTGCAAGCATGGTTGATGTTAGAGGGTATTTCTATATCTGCTTGTCTATTTATACTAAAGTGGTTTGGTTTAAATAAAAATGATTTTAAACAAAACATTTTAACCATGTTTGGAATCAGCATTATTATACACTATCAGATGTCAAATTTGGGAGAAACTTAAAATATTTTGTTGGATAAGGACTTCAACCCAAATTTAATACATCTTTGAAATTTTCAGGTTTTATATTTTCATATATGATCATAAATAGTTCTTTTTTCCTACATAATATTTTCTTATAGTGATGATTTTATTTGTAATTTTTGTCAAACTCTATTTAGATAGAAATGGAATTTGGTGAAAAATTTTATTAGCTAAACTAACTCTTTAGTAATTTTCCTATATATGCAATATTTTAAGATATAATTATGGAACCATGATTTGCAATTAATAGCATACATTTAACAAAAAATCATATTTTTAGTGAGAAAAACAAGTGAATTTATCTGTATTTATTATGTCTTGCAAGACTACAAAACTGGTAGATTACATGCTGTCACACTTAGTTAATATTGATATTTGAAGATCAGTATAAACCTTTTTGCTTTCTTAATTCCCAGTTTGTAAGTACTGATTGAATTAGTAAATGAAGTGTTAAATGATCTAGAATGAAGAAAACATTATTTTTATATCTACAAAGGACATGTAATACTATTTGAAAACTGATTATAGCACAGGAGTTTCAAATATTTTATTTTCAGCAGCTTCCACAACTGTAATAGCCTGATTTTCTTTAAAAGTTCATCAATATGTACATACTGTATACTCTTTCATTTCAGGTATGCATTTTAGCCAATTTTGACTCAATCAATTAACTGTATTTTAATATATTTTGGTAAGATATATTTAATTTAGATAAGTCTCTTCTAAATTGGAAAACCTGATTTTCTTTTCAGATGACACTTTTTCTCCGTCTTCATATGTAGGAAATGGCATATTCTCCTCTAAATTTTATAGAAAACTATTCAACAGCCATATACAAATATCAAGCTGTGTGCATATAATGTAACTCTGCTGAATCGCACAGCTTTACTAAAGGAATAAGTTTTGTAGACTTTATTTAGTATTCCGACAAAATGAACTGTTTGAGTAGTATTGCTCTAAACCTTCAGCAAATCTGGATGCTGTCTGCTATAAAGAAGTTGAAGACACTTTCAGTAAAAATAAATATTAGATCTGATTTGTAATGAAGACTATGCAGAAAGTGTAATAAATCAGTCATGTTCAGGTATACTCCATTCCTGGAAAGGGGTACCCATGAGCTTTTTAGCTGATGAGATTTTTGCTCTTGTTGAACAATGATATTTCACTCAGCACCCTACAAATGACATGTCTGGGTTACAGGTTTGGTATTCTCTTTTGCAGTTTTTCATCATGATAGATTAACAATTCTTTTTTTTTTTTCTTTTTTCTTTTTTNTTCTTTTTTTTTTTTTTTTCCTGCTAGGATGCTTCAATTGCCCACAGATTCCATATCATGAGAGAAAAACATCCAGAGAAGTTCAACAGTAGGTAAGAATATAAAAATATTTGTGTATGAAGAGATTCTTTCCATAATGTTAAGGTATAATCTGAAGGGGTTAAATTTTGAATACCCTTTAAAATACTGATTCTTATAAATGAGAGGAAATTGGTGCATCTCATGTTATATATGTGCTCCCAGGCTGCTTGTAGTGTAACTGTTTTATATCTGGTATTTCAACTGAAATGAATACCATTATAAATAAACTGTTCTCTCATGCAAAATGTTTGACTTGTAAGACTAGCATGGACAAGATGATGCATTTTGGTATCTGAGCATCCCTGAATTGACACTTTGCCATTAGGCACTGAAGAACACTTATTAGACAGCTGCAGATGGTGATCCTTATGTTTCAATCCCACACGCACACTGGTGCATTGACAAGGGGCTCTTCCATATATACTCTTAGTAAGGGCAAGTGAATGCCATTTTACACATAAATGCTTTTTATCATTAAAGAGCTTTGGATATGTAAAAAAGTCAAGAAGAGACTTTGCATCTGTTCCTTGTGTTCCTTTTAGAATTTGGAATGTTGTCTCAGAGCTTTTCTAGAGATTAAAAATATATTACAACATGTACTGTAAATTCACCTTCTTTCAGTATCTGGTCTGCTGAGTAGATAATATTCATAATGCAATGCTTATATTTATCTTTTTTATTTAGATATTTTAGCATATCAGTTGTGATGGGTAAAGCAACATTTCAGAAACATTAATTAACATTTAAAGGCAGAATGGAAGAGGAAATAAAGATGTTAAGTGCATAGGAATAAAAGGAGCTATCTAGAAAAAAAATATTTTGTCTTTCTGACAAAAAATGTTTTGCCTTTCTGAGGCTGCTCATAGACTTTAGTTTGTCATGGGGCTAACCTGGAAAGTCTCATGAGATGCAAATATTGATACAAATATGCTGTTCATGCGCTGTAAAACTCCTTAGAACTGTACAGAATGATGTTTGAATATATGCAACTTCCCACTATTTTCATGTTGTGGGTATAAATTTCATATTTCCCAAATTTTAACAGCTAGGGATGGTGGCTTTTTTCTCCTTGAATATTAAATCTGTTTAGTATCTATGCAATGACAGACTATGAACTCAAGTGTATATTTCTGTTTAAGTCCCACAGTAAACCTTTATATTGCATTGTCTTTTATTATTCTTATTCTGATAATCATCTGAAGGAATTATACTATGAATGAATCAGAACCTAAACCTAGACTATATGTCAAAATGTATTATACAGATTCAGCAAGACTAGAAATATTGGACACTTTGCAAATGCAGATATTCTAGGCTCTGAAGATGAGCCGGTTTATCAGTGGTCTTTCTGCATATTTTCAGCAGTTGGCAATTATAATTTATAAAAAGCTCAGTTAATAACATGAGTTTCAGATCAGATTTCATGTCACAATAAATCATACGCCATTAATAACATCTGCTAGCAGACTCACCTTGAAATTCATCTATATTTTAAGGAATCTGATGTTTCTAACATTATCTTAAGGAAATTAATTACAAAAATATATAGTTCAAGTCTCTACCTGCTGTGGTACTTAGATATTGAAAGAATGTGAAAAAAATCAGTGATTCTCTGCATTTTGAAGGACTATTCAGAAAGATTATACATTTCTAAAAGAGAATATAAAGAGTTGGGCAATATATTGTTAAGGAGATTGATTTTTAAAATATTTCTTCTTTTGTGTAGTGATAAAAAAATGCAGATTGTTRTTGTTGAATAAAATTTTCTGAGCAATCATGCTTGCTCAGAAATAGTTTGTTCCTGTAACAGTTACTATCGTGTGTCAATACTCCATAATATGCTGTAGCAGCAATTTCCTACAGTATATGAAATAAAGCCTGTTTTTAGCTCTCCACAGCAGAGCTCCAAACAGCAAGATATATTTTACTTTTCACCACTGTAGGATTTTCTATGGAGTCTAAATGATTTAGAATCAGCAAGTGCAACTAAGATTAAGTGAGTTCATAGTGGGCTGCAGAGTTAATAGCACTTCTACTTTTGAAAATGATACACAGATACTTCTGAACACCTCTTCCGACTAAAAAAAAGGGGGGAAAAAAAAAGTCTTTTTTTGGCTTTCTATGATTTTTCTCTTGTCTGATTTTCCGAAGTTTTAAACTTCCATAGCTATCACCCAGTTCTGTAAAGCAGATGCTTGCGTTGAGGTTCTCCTCTAAAGATGAATATATAAACAGCATCTCATCTCCTTACAGAACTGAAATGGCCTTTGGTCACAATATACTGTAGCTAGAAACCTGAATATTAAATTGGAAGTAAGATTTCCATTACTAAAATTGCCCAAACAGTCTGAGCAGAAAGAGATGGTGATCATTTTGGCTACTTGGCACAAAAAATGATTTGGATCAAATTAAAGAATAAATTGCCTTTGGATTAACTACATGCAGAGTTCTGACAAAATTCCAAGATATTGCATTTACTTTGGTGAGTTAAATTGCAGTAAATTCTGGTATTGATTTTTTTTTCCTTCCTGATACTTTATATTTGTGAGTGAAAGCAGAATCTTTCTGTACTGGTTTATCATCCCAAAATGAAAATTGTACAACACAAGGCTTAGGAGGACTTTAATTACCACCAGTTAATATTGTAGAACACTCTGGAAGTAGATTGCTTGATATTATGGATGTTGATGCATGTAGAAACCAAGACTTAAAATGATGTTCATGAAAATCAGAATCTCAGTGGTCACCATAGCCATCTTACAGGTCTGAAGTGTTGAGGTTAATGTGCTTGAGAAAACATGGTTCAATTCTCAGTATCTCCTCATTAAGAATAGGGTCAGATTTCCAGATTTCAGTGTGGAAGGGTTGAAGTAACCTCAAGGGGAAGTAAACTTGAAAAAGGCAGCATTTCAAGTAACTATATCATCAAGCTAGGACATACTGGTGAAATAACGATTCATTTAGGCCAAAGTGCCCTGTGGGGAGATCTGTATAAACCTAGTAGACTTAAAGCTGAGAAAAACAGATGGATGAGTTTTGTGAACAGAATATACACATAGAATGGAAGAAAAATAACAAGAAAAAAGTTAATATTAATTTTTTAAAAGTTATAATCCTAAAATAATATTCAGTTAAATAAACCTGCTTATTTGTCTCTCTAGCACTCAGTAGCATGCAAAAAAATTCCACTAACTAGTGTAGTTAATTTTCAGTATATTATCACTGAGATTTTCAAACATGAGTCTGTTGTCCTCATTTAAAGCTCTTTTATGATGAAGAAGTCCTAACTCAGAAAAAGGATCATATTTCTAATCGCTTGGTTAGTATCACGTACTAATGTACTGTTACCATGTACATCTTTTCTTATGGAGGAAATGATGGAGGAGAATGACCAACTATCAAGTGAGGAAGTGGTTCATAGGGCTGACAAAGGGTCCAGCCTGATGTGAAGGAGAGGCAACATTGCAATAAACAGTGGCCTGAAGTGGGTCACCCCAAGCATATCCACATAAAGGAAATACCTGATGCACAGCATGTTGGGGGAAGTCTTTGCACCAATCACATGCTTGGTGCCTCTCTGTAGTGCTTTTAAACTAATGATGTAACATGGGGAACAGAAAGTTAGACTTGTGAAGTTCAATGAAGGCCAATGCCAAATGTTGCAACTGGGGAGGAATAACCCCGCTCCCAGATTGCTGTTTCCCATTCCGGGCTTTCCTGTAAAAGAAAGTCATGCTTTTATGGGAACAAGTCCAGCAAAGGGCCACAAAGCTGCTGAATGAAATGAGGCACTCTCATAAAAGGAAAGGTTGAGAGAACTAAGACTATTTAACCTGGGGCTCAGGAAGGATATTATCAAGTTATATATGTAAGTATAATAAAGTAAAGAACATAGAGTCACACTCACCTCATCAGTGGTTCCTAGCATCGGAAAAAGAGGTAATGGGCATGAGGTGAAACATGCATGATCTCTAGAGGTACGTTCCAAAATCAGTAGCTCTGGAATTTTGTGGTTAAAATGCTCCCTTCTTAGATGTGCTTAGCCTTTGTTTTAAAGTTGGCTTGTTTTAAATGAAAATCTGAAATGTTTCATTTTGACTAGAATGACAACACAAAATTTTATTTTCATTATTCTTTCAGTTTTTCAGCTTAAGTAAGTTGTACAGTCTCAAAAGTTGAATCAAAACTGCATTTTTATAGTGTATAAAATAATCCTCAACAGAATATTCTTAACTGGAAAGGCAGGTATTTTAGCATCTAGTCTCTTCAACCTCTCCTCCTTCTTTTGGCTCTGATTGAGCAGAGAACATTTTAGAAAAAGACACTGATCTCATGCAGAGACCAGATTGCAGACATCTGTCACCTGTCCAATTGAACCTACTGCTTCCTATTCATGAAAGGATAAGGCCCTGAGGTCAACACCTCTGTATTTGGAGAGGATTGCTACAGGAGTAGTCATCAGAAGCAACATTAGGCAAAACAATTTATTTCACAGACTCTGATGTATCTGCACATGATCAAGAGCTGGCCTGTAGATATAAAACCTACTCGACCTCGCTCTTGGTTATAAAGTTAATAGGAAAAAAAAGATGAAGAATGAACATCTCCTGACAGACTTCAAACACAGGAGTGTGTCTTCTTTAGAAAAATTCCTGAAGTGTATCATGCATGCTTGATTTTACTGAGCAGGGACAAAACCAATATGATTGCTTTGATATTATCTTGCAGCTCTTCAGTCTATAGGGCTTAACCTAGAGTTATTGAATCCTTATTGTAAGGATTAGGCAGACATCCATTTAATACAGTTTATATTTGCAAATGATACACCAGTATTAAATATTTACAAGGCTTTCACAAAATCTCTAGATTCTGTCACATTGCAGCTTGGGTCAACATATCAAGTTATACTTAAAAAAAAAGTTTGTTTTTTTCTTCAGATATTTTTTATTCATTGAAAATGTAGTAGTCCATCATTTTTCAAGAAGAAAATAATGCTGATTCAACAGACATG